AACCTGGCAAACAATTCATGGACTATTTGCAATTAAGTAGAAGGCATGTTACTTACTAATAAATTTTCTGGCTTAATATCTCTGTGTACAATATTCATAGAATGTAGATAGTGTAGTGCAGATGCCAAGTCTCGGACCATGTGGCTCGCATCTTTCTCTGTGTATTTAGTAGCTCTAACGATGGCCTCAAAAAGATCTCCTCCCTAGAAAACAAAATAGGAATAATGATAATAAAGGAACATGGACAGTTCAAATTGCATTATATTTTTATCCCTTTAAGGTCTCTTAAGCTAACAACACAGACTACTAAAATTAATATTCCACTCAGTTTTTGTCATACCTTCCTGTTAATGTTAGTCTTGAAAATATGGTGGTTTACAGTTGACAATATGTGCACTCCTAAAAGGTGTTGCAATTTGAGCAGATATCTACCTGCCAACTTTTTCTGAATTAAAGGCATATTTTTTTTCTGGGAGTGCAAGTTAAGACCCAACCACAATCAGAGACATCCGGAGACCTTTGAGGACACTGAAGATTTCTGGTCCCTTTCCCTAGTCAAGTTTCACCAAAGATAATGCTATTCCAAGACTTTTCCTTCAAGAATCAGTCAGCTGGAGAACTGTATTGTCATTTCAAAGGGCTTTGATCAGTTAGAGCATAAATATTATTGATTACTGCAACACTTCACTGTGTTTATTATTTTGTCCAGGACTCACCTTAACTAACTCCATAACCAGGAATATTTTGCCCAGGACTCACCTTAACTAACTCCATAACCAGGAATATTTCTTTGGGAGTTTCGTATTCTTCCATTAGCTCTACAATATTTCTGTGTTTTACTCTTCTTAATATACTAATTTCATTTTCGACCATATGTTCCTGAAAAAACATAACACAACATGATTCATAATGTTGTACAAATGTTTAAGAGTATACAGAATATGAGTCTAACTTAAACTAAATTAACAATCAGATTGCAAGAGAAGATGAAACAAAAGAAGTATCTTGCTCTTATTTCTTTTTGTCGAGTCTGAATACAATTTTCATCAGATTCATTAAGAGTTTATACTCATTTGACAACCAAAGAATGTCAGCCAGCCCTAACATCTGGTCTTCACACATCACGTCACAAGCAAGTATGAGCAAAGGCCATACTTTGACAAATTAAACAACATGTTCATAGCCATCTACATTGTACATGTGTATAATCCTGTGGAATGTGGGAGGCACAGTAGAAAATATAAGAGACCTTCCTGCATTATCTGTGTTTAGGCAGTGTATTAGAAAGTTTGATTTAAATTCCTTACTGGCTGATGCCCATTGTTCTGATTGTATTTTATGTCGTAGATGATAGACACTAGTACTTTATTAAGTCTATATGTATTTGTAAATAGTTCTAAGCCACACTCAACAATCATGCACATGTAAATAATCTCATTAATTTCATACTCGTTTTATCAATTATAAAAAGTTTTATTAATTTTAATTTATTTATAGTGTCCCCATTTAGTGGTTATTTACCGCTATTTTAGTTTGACACTTAAATAAAGGTATTCATTCAGTCATTCATTCATTCAAGGTTAGTGTCCTCAACTCCAGTTGAAGCAGTCTGGGTTTGAAACCCTAGCCAGGGACATTGCGTTGTGTTCTTGGGCAAGACTCTTTACTCTAACAGTGCCTACCTCCACCCAGGTGTATCAATAGGTACTGGCAAATTTACTGCCGAGGGGGTTACCATGCAATGGACCAGCATCCCATCCAGAGGGGAATAGAAATAGTCCTAGTCGCTTCATGTTACAGAAATTGGAGGTAAGTGCTGGCCTGATGGGCCACTTGGCTCGTATGTACAGAATTTACCTATGTAACATACGTTTGATCTCACCTTTCCCTTCACTTTAGCTTTGCTAATAATCTTAAGGGCATACTCTCTATTAGTTTTCCTACAAAAAAACATGAAAAAATGAAGCCAAAGTTAATAAACTAAAACTAATATTATTTCTTAAACAAATAATTTAACTGTATTTTGGGGGGTGGAGGGGGTGGGGCAATGTTAGCACTTAGAGCAAGAGACATTGTATTGACAAGTCACTGCATATTAATCTACTTGCTTCGACAGATAAATGTCAAGCCAGGATGTTTGGGAAAATTTATGCCATTAGCATATTGAAATAATGCTGTACATATATAATCATCTCTATTCACATTTTCTATGAAGAGGAAGACATACCTATTTTTACACTCCCTAACAACAGCAAAGTTTCCATCTCCTATAACTTTTCCTATTCTATAAAATCCATGAACTGATATTCTTTCTCTCTTGATCTTCTTGGGATCTTTAGCTGTGGATAAAT